TCCTCAGAGGTATGGGATCGCAACTGCAACAAGCAAACGTGCTGGTTACTCTCTGGGTTAAAGGATTGAAGGGAAGCAAAGCATCTTCAAATAATGATCAAGGTCTATCATCAATGGTATCATTTCTCGAGCGCAAGGCTACGACATTAGATTCCAGGTCGCAAAAAGCTGTAAGAGTTAAAAAGGTACGTTCTATCGCCATGATTCCAGGATCACGAAGCCTGCTGCGATTTCGCCGTCGTATCCTACTCTTTTCAAGTCAAGTTTCCTATAACGGGTTGAGGATCGATACTTCCGCTTTACCACTTCGTGATTCGCGATCGATCCCAAGGTCATCCACACCTTGCTAACCTCGAATAGTCACACAAGAAAGGTGACATCGTTGTTATCTCAGTTACCCCGGAGGATGCCGTCACTATCAAAAAGTTGGATGGTTTTGTATTCTCCGGATCAAAAATTGCCATTCATGACACTGAGCCATCATCAGAGCCAAAGGAAGAGTCTGAGGATGCTAGGTCAACTCGAGAGAAGATTCAGGCGGTTCTCGCAGCTCGATACGATGCAAACCTCAAGCTTTTGAATCTCTCGGCCTTGGGTCAAGATGAGCAGTTGAAGCAGATGGGAATGTTTGATGATAGCAGCATTGTCTCGAAACTCTTCCCGGTTTTGATGGTTATTTGCAACAAATTGTTCACCTCTCGACAAGCTAAAAAGGATGCCATAGTCAGTATTACTTTAAGCGACAACCAACTAGCCGATCTTTCCAACGTCACTTCATTGGCCTCAACATTTCCCGATTTAAAGAATCTCGACCTTTCCAGAAATCAGTTCACCGGGTTGGATTCGCTATATTTATGGCGCTGGAAGTTTCGTCATCTCGAAAACCTCATCTTGGCCGGCAACCCTATAGAGACTCTCCTTCCAGATTACACGACTGAGATCGTACGCTGGTATCCTGAACTTCAACAATTAAACGGTGTTCAAGTCAGAACTGCTGCGCAGGTTGTAGCAGATCTCGAGGCTATCAAATCACCATTCCCAATTGCTGGCCCAGCTTTCCGAGATGTTGGACAAGTTGGAGAAAACTTCATCAGACAATTCTTTGGGGCTTATGACAATGATCGTAACGCCTTACTCACCAATTTCTATGACGCCCAATCCAAGTTCTCGCTCTCAATCAACATGTCAGCCGTTCGAGACCGCAATCACCCAATGCCTCTCCCTCCATGGGCAGCATACAACAAAGTCAATCGGAATCTTGTCAAATACACACACTTATCTACAAGATTATCTCGACAATATACTGGCATTCAAGCGCTTCAACCAATTTGGAGCAACCTACCCAAAACAAGACATCCCGAGATCGCCACACAACCTGAGAAATACCTTGTCGAATGTCAAACCCTTCCGGGCCTTCCTGATCCTTCTGGACAGAGTGCGGCTGGGGTTGACGGTCTTCTCATCACTATTCACGGCGAATTCGAGGAGGACATTACCAATTTTGAAGGGAAAGCTCTCCGTAGTTTTTCACGAACCTTCATCCTCGGACCCGGAGGACTAAACGGACCTCCCATCAGAGTCATCAGTGATCTCCTTGCACTTAGAGCTTGGGGTCCATTGGCTCAAACCTTAGTTCAGGCAACTCAAGCAGTTCAGGCCGTCCCAGCGGTTCCTACACCTGGCGTTCCACTCACTGCAGAGCAACAACAAGCAATACTTGCCGAGAAACTTGCTATCGAGACTGGCATGAATTTACAATATTCAGCCATGTGCTTAACCGAGACGGGATGGGATTTAGAGAAGGCTTATGTTGCTTTCCAAGCCACCAAGGCGAATTTACCCGCAGAAGCCTTTCAGACACTATAGATTTGAGTTGAAGGAAGGGAGGGGGGCCATCAGCATCGGCGTTTTTTTATGGATCCAGAGGTTAAGAGGGGATTCGGTGGTATATTGCATGAAATGGAGGTTATGGCAAGCATCACACAGCGGAGTTTTTTTTTTCCTTGTTTCTTTTTGTTTTTATCAGGATGGACTGCTGCGATTTAATCGATCACATCATCATAAAATTATGCATGAATCAAGAATGGATGGAGTTTTATGGGATATTGATGATATACATGCATACAATTGTCAAGACGTATGTATGTTTAGCGAAAGGAAAGGGGGAAAGGGGAAAGAAAGGGAAGGGGAGGGGAAAGAAGAGATAAACATAAGTTGTGAATAACAGATAAATATATTATCCATACAAAAGTACTCGCTCGATGAATTGCAAAGGGCAAGAACAGAAAAGGAAAGGAAAGGAAAGAGTGAATATGTATGTAAATAAAACTCGAACGCAAATAATTTCAATTCAAATTTAATAGATTTGATTATGGTATATACATCTTCTCCCCTTTCCTCTTTCATTAACATCCTACTCACCTACTCACCCACTCACTTCTAACTTCTACCAATGATTTCATAAATTTACAGTATCCATCTATTTACTCTCCATTCATCTACTATATTGTAATTATCTACTATACTCAATATCTACTATATCTCAATATCTCTATATATGTATATATATGTATATATATGTATATATATGTATATAATCAAGTAATTAATACTCTACTCTACTCTACTCTACTCTACTCTACTCTGATTTCTTTTCAACTTTTATTTTTTCAACTTTGATGCTATTAGAAAAAATATAAAAAAATAAGTAAAAGAATTACATATATACATACATAAATACATAAAATACATACTCATATCTCATTTCTAACATCATAATTCGTACGTATATCATGTTCATTCATATTCATCATGAAAACCCCTTTTTCCTAACCCATCCTTTCCGTCCCAATCCATACCATCCGGCCCATCCAGTCCAGCCCAACCCAACCCAATCCAATCCATTCATGATTTTCTCAAAAACATCAACTGCATCATTATCATTCATTCGTACGTGTAAGGTAAAAAAGAACCAACCATCCATCCATCCACCCATCGCAAACCAAACCAAACCCAATACACAATTGGAACATCCAATCGCATGTGCAACGCCAACCCATACTCATACATAGATTCCCCAGCCAGCCCGCCAGCCAATCATTTAGCATGTTCAACGATTTCCGCATAGACGTCATCGGGAATTTTCCTAATGATCGTAAGAGTCACCTCCTTGATCGTATCCGCTTGCAAAGGGGGGAAAGATCGGAGGATTTTCGTCGGACTTCCATGACATGACCATTAGCGGAATCCGGAGAAGAAAGGGGGGGGGGGGGGAGAGGAAAGAAAGAAACGGGCCGTCCGTCCTGAAGAGCTCGCTAGCTTACCTTGGAGAACTCAAGATAGAATTGCGCAGAATCACAAGCTGTGCCACGATGCACAGGATGTTGAGGTGCGCTCCGTACGCAAATAGGAAATCCCAGAGTCGAAGGACCTCTGGTAATGGAGGCGTGCATGCGCAGAGGGTGAGGACCGAAGGAAATGCATATATCTCGGCACTCATACCCTTGCCAATCAAATAGAGACTCAACTTGGGGTCCACGATGGCCAAAACTTTATCCACCAATGCGAGTCCCTTGTGAACACCATCCATCGCGCCTCTCACATAGCCCGGAACCTCATTTGTGATGAATCGATGAAAGGCCATGAATGCTTCCGATTCGCTGCGAGCGGCATAGAGAAATGGCGCAGCGAGAACATTCATGCCTTGAACATAGGTGCCCGGTTCGCCCGCCCCGACTTCAGAACCTTCCGCCGTCAAAGTAAGAGCACGCGCTCGGTACCTCATCCGAGGCGATAGTGGACTATGCTCAGGAGAACCTTGCATCGCGGCCTCCATCATTTGGCGCTGTTGGAGATTCCGAAACTCGGCTCGCGCTTCTTTCACATCGTGTAGTTTCCACGCTACCGCGTTTAAAAGGCGTATCAAACTTGCTTCGCTGACGCGACGTCGAAAGAGGGGATCGGTGGCGAGGGTGCGAAAGGTATCATTTCGTATCTTGGAATATGCGGGAGATGCCCCGCGGTGGATGAGAGATAGATACGCGTCTGTTTCGAGGATGGGGGCGTTGAGTAATATAAGCCAGATGTAGATGCGCAGCGAGGACTATGGCGAAGTTAGTGTTTGTTTGCCTGTTTTACAATCTATCGAAGAAAATCGACACACCATCCCATCGCCATCGCTCTTCACACCCTGATCCAATATCTTCAATCTCATGCCCTCCAAACTACCAATGATATCTCCATCTGGAGGGCCATCTCTCAGTAGGCGATCCAACGTCATACTCTCCGATACAATCAACTTTCTATACACGATCGGACGCCGAGTCGCAGAGGTTGGATTTGGCACCATGTTCGTGAGATCACTGTTGGACCTTGCTCTGGCTCGAGAATGGGTTGCGGTCGAAGATTGTGTCGCATCTCTCGGTACGGGTGAAATGGCCTTTTGCAACGCTTGCCTATGGTGCTGCGAAATCAAGGATGGCTGGTGAGATGGCGCACCCAACGTGTGCGCAGACTGTAATCGTCGCAGGGCTCGGTGGGATCTGGGTGATGGTGGTGGGTTGAGAGAAGGAAAAGGAAAGGGGAAGGGGAAGGGGAATGCATCATTTTGGGGGGACGAAGTTGCCATAGTGTTGTCGCATTTCTTGATGTGTAGGAGACGAGAATAGAAACAAATCTGTAGTATTATATATAATATGTATCATGTATTTTGATATGTTATAACATTTTGATTGAAGTGGTTGCCATGTCAGCAGCATTACTCGACTTATCAGCTGGAGGCTGGTAAGGAAGGGCATCGTTCGTTTCATTTTGCGTGAGCACCGCTTAGACTGCGGGAAAGGCGATGCCAGTGCGTGACAGGCATTGGATGAGCCAATCAGGACATCGTGAGAAAAGCTTATATTGTTATTATATATGTGATCCATCGAGGCCACTCCGCTCTCTACGTCTCGGCACACTTCTGGATAAACCCCCTCCCAGCATCAAAAGGATCCAAGAAATCCGAATGAGCGCAGGGGTTAGCATAACTCGCTTTGATCCCTCTTGTTCTCTTCCGAAGGCAACCTGAGCATCGATCCGAGTAGCCCCGGTTCGACTCCCGGATTCGGAAGTCTTGTTTTGTAAAGAAGATGCGGATTGTTTGTCTATACCTGCTGAGCTACTACCGTAGTTGGTGTGCTGGTCACGGTATCCACGTGACATCAAGTCTGTAGGTGCATGTAATGCAATTGGCTATATACTTTTGGCCTGGCTGGGCTTGGTTGAGAGGTGAGGGGGGTTATTATGGTAGGTAGGTGGGTGGCGAGAGGGCAGGCCTTTCGTCCTAGGGGGATGGGGATATCGTAAAAGGATGGAGGGGGGGCGGGCATACCAAGGGCCTTTTTGAATAGGAATTCAACCCCTTCATTCTTGGATCAATTTAGAATATTATCCATCGTTCAATCCATCGGAGGCTCAACTAAAACTCAGGTATCGAAAATTGCATGCAGATTGTTTCACGAATCGATATAGATATGCCCTTTCACGTGATTGGAATGATCAATCAGTCTTTGGCACACGAAGTCTCTCCAGACCGGGCTATCTTGTCGTACCTATCCATATCATTTTTGTTATGCATGATATGGCTTCAAGCATGAAACCTGCGTGGTATTATCTATCAAATCCGGAGATTCAGCTCTATCCATCCGTAGTTACGACCGGAACGATATGTATCAGCCTCCATAGCATGAAGATGGACGTTGACATTCAAACTTACACACAAAACTCAACATTATATATCTATAGATGGAAAAGGGGAAGCGAGAAGCAATATTGGACAAATTAGAAGAGCATACAAAGAGAAGGGCTAAATTCGGTAAGAGGTTGGGCTGTTGTATTGATAGATCGTGACGCGAAACCTCACATCAACGATCGAATCTCCAGACAGCCATTGACTTCAGGCATGATCAGTGAGATGCGGAAGTTACTAATTTTCCAATTCTTACCAAGAACGTCGAACTTTGAGTCTTTGGCGTGACGATCCTATCATAGGCGTTCCTGCTAGGTGGTGAACAGAACAAGACGCCTGGTAAATGCCATTCATTACTGCTTTGCACAACGCCATGACGATGAAACCGCTCGAGATGGGTTGAAAAGAAGAAATTCCGGAGCGGTAATGGCCATGCTATTTGCTCCATACAACACCACAAACATACTTCGACATATGCGCGCGCATCAATGTTGCAGCAGACTTGGCGAAACCCTTAAATTCTCAACCTCGCTCATCAGCAGCTGTCAACCCATCCATGGGTCTTTCCGTGGCACAAATAATACCAAGAAGTAGTGTATCACTCGGGAATGAGCGGGGAGAAAGCAGGAAAGTCGGGAGTCATCGACCTGGCATCTTTTCCTTTCCTAGGTATCAACGAACGACGTGCACATAGCAACGATCTTGTCGCTCGCTTCTCAGCTCATCACAGCACCAACCACACTTTCAACCTTTCAAGCCATCCATCTACTTGACTTCGGGAGTCTTGCTTAGCAGACCGTCCGTCCGATCATCATCTCATTCCGCATCACTGATAACAAGGACCACGCAAAAGTACCGGTACCGGCGCTCCCCCCCCTAGATACATACCTCCCAAGGCTTTAGGATTGGACGAGAATTTCCTACCCCAAAACCATCGACACTCACCCCAAGCCCAAACTCTAACACCGACATTGGGGATATGATGGGAACAATCCTTACATCATAGCAAAATTTGAATCCCCTCCCAAAGATATGGCGACCAAATGATATGCCGACCCGTTACAAAAAACACCTTTCATCTATCTGACCGATATTCTCCCACACGTACCACCCAAAAGATCGACCATCACGACACGACAGTCACTTTAATACCACGTAGATGATGAAATCATCTTTCACGAACTTCGAAAGCTCGAGGATGGTGGCATCGGATTGCTGGTTTCCTTTGATGCCTACCAAACATAGGCACTCGAGTATTTAGATGATGTACATACATATTTGAGCGTATCCGGAGATACCAACATCAAGTGGTGGTCGTGTGGCGGGCGTCTCGCGCCTATTGAGTCCACGTCCACAGCACTGTAGAGAGAAGAGAGTAAGTAGACCTAGCTCAGCTCATCCACGCATCATTATCCATCCGATCGAAGCCTAGATACATCTAAATCTGATGATGATGATAATGATGATGATGATGATGATGATGAGGATGTGCGGTTAGAGTCGGGGAAGAGACGAAGCGACGTTTAAGCACGAATAGCGTGCGTCACAGATCGCCTGGTGGGTGTGGGTGGGTGTGGAGAAGGTCGTCTTTCATCATCATGGTAAGACGTGATGCTGTAGGCTCCACCAGAGTCGTACCTGCCCAACACCCGCCTCCTAACCGTCAAGGCTAAGGCGTAGGTGGTATGGAAGACCCTGGCAAGGGCCTTGATGGGAACGAAGCCCTAATCTGTAAAAGCTGTTCGTTCATGAGAGTAGAGGTCTTTGGCGATGCAATAGACCCGCTATTATCTCCTGCGGCCGCACGTTTGTAACGGTATTAATTAGAATCTCGATGAAAGAAAGCTGTAAGTGGTTTATATTATTGAATAGATAGTTTTTGTAGAAATGTCAGAAGAGTGGAAGCGAGTTTTTCGTGAATGCAAGAAACGTAACTGAGATAGATGTTGAGAGTTGCATTTCCGCGCTAGCTATCTCGTAGCCCTTGTTATTTTTCAAAGACAGACAGACAGACCTCTCTCTATTAAGCCCGGTGCATCAACTAGAGAGTTTTCGGATTACTTCGGCACCTGCATCCAGGATATCTTTCATCGTTCTCAGCCGTTACCCTTTACACCTGCTGCGGAAAATCCCATGGACTCCACGCTGCTCACGATGATCTAGGACTCGGATGGAAGCTTGACGCGAGCTGGGGGAGGGGGCGCGGGGCGTTTACGAAGACGCGGCAGGTAGCAAAGATCCATCTTGGTAGATCATTATTTCTGCAAACCCTGTCAAAAATTTACTACGTTGAATACGAATGGTCATCTATGACTCGTATGCTCGTGACGAGACACAAGCCATACCGTGATGTGACAAGTTAGTACGTGGGCTGCCAGTGTCTAGTTCTCGAGCTAAGATGGACCTAAACCCGCAAAGCCCTAAGATCAACCGAACTTCAAAAAGTCATTTTTTTTTGGACATCGGCGAAGTTCCTAGAAGGAGAAATCAATCCGTTGTCAAATACATGTAGTGTCTTGCCTCGGGTGTTTCCGTTGTAGGGTTGGGCTCTTCACGTAATTCAGGTGGTAAACAACGGTACTTGACGAATATATTCATAATGCTGTACGTGATCGAAATTGACCAATCAGAAAGCTCTAAAAATTGGGATCATACATGAGGAGAAGAATGGAAATCTTATTTGGAAGAGCTTTTGTTGAATTTTGAGGATTACGTGGTGGAAAATGAGGTTATTTTGGAGGGCGGTGATGAGGTCAATTATATCAACATAGTATCAATATGCCTAGCATTATCATGTGATGCCTTGATGCATTATATAAAAGTATTGACGAATATATTTGGAGCCAAAATTACAGCTTTAAATAATGATATTGTACGGATAAGCTCAAAAGCTAACGAAGTCAAAGTGTTTCTAACGAGGTTCACGGAAGTAATGATGAAAGAGTAGTGCTAGGTGTTTCAGTGAGAACAGCAAGAGATCTTTGGTGAATATCATCTCTGGAACATGACAATGTTCTGTTTGTACAGACTTGCCCTATCATGCAGACGTAGTGCTGATAGGGCCAGAGAAACGTGGCGTGAGACTACATACCGGGATTCGCACGTGGATAGATCGAGGCTCAAAGAAGGCAAGGGAATAATCTATGCAAGTCAGAAGAGGAACCTGTCTCTTCCAGGATTGAAAGATCAAAGCTGCATCACGAAAAGAGGATGTAGTGATTGAAATCTCCCGAGCCGAGGAACTTTCGTAGACTAAACATATTTCCGCAGGCTGTTGTAGCCTTTTTGATGATGTTGCTGCTGAAAAACTCCACCGAGACAAGTATTCAAGTATTCAGGTTTGCTAATCTTCGCAGATTTAGAAAATACATGCAAGCTGTCGGAAATGAGGATATCCTAGGATATATTCATGTATAGTGTGCTAAGATGTGACTCCAGCCTGGGGTAACAACTCCGCTAAATAGTTGATGCAGAATAAACAGAAGAATACAGGAATACTGAATGAAATTTTCATGTTGGAAATCTTACTGCATACCGCTTCTGAGGTGGTTGCAGGCCTCATGTCAGTCTGGGATGAATGACAGCGGCATGCAGTGAGATGGTGGAAGCCACTGAAGCTTCACATCTCTATAGGCCGATTGAAACCGCCTACTTTGAACGAGGGGTCGGTCGAATCGTCATGAAGATTCAATCTTTGAGCCGGTCTGGAAAGCCGGATATATATGAAATGATTTTTGCTTTGATAGTATTGCATAACTTGCAAACACAGAAATTGTTATATTAATTTCTAAAGCTCGCCGACGTGCAATTCCAACCTCAGGAATCTTCTTCTACAAGGGGCACAGCTTCCTTGCGGATGAGATATAATTGACTTTCCAGAGTAAACTTCTGATGCTGACCAAGGAAATCAGATAAGAACCATGCCGAAGGATTATGATCGCGCGGGATCACAAATTGATGACTGCAGCAATTTTAACTTGATGAAAAGGTGAAAATGGTTAAAAGATTTCGCTGATTTCCATTGGTTGGTATTCTCCCCCTTTTGTAACGTTCCTGGATATGGCATCCACGAGGCGAAGGAAACCACTACATGCATGTGCTTTTTAGCAGGAAGGGAGACTTGCCTGTGCAGTAAGCTTTTCATGGCTGCTTCTTACCCTCATCCACCAAGAAGGTTGGACATCGGGGAGAATTGTTGGCGACCAACTATCTACCCGTTCCGAGGTATGATTCAAGGGTCGGAATCAAAAAGAGCATGAGATCCCAATAAACTGGTTTTGGAACGGCGAGCTGCGTTACAAGACTGACAGTATCTGTACCACTTGAATGAAAGGCTAGCCGCAGGTAGCGAGATGTGCTGCGCCGTCTAATCGGTTTTGAGG